AATATCCCGAATGGCTAGCAAACGTAGTCGTAGTCCCTGAAAAGGGAAATAAACTTAGGATGTGCGTAGATTATAAAGATTTGAACAAAGCATGTCCTAAAGACTCTTTTCCTCGGCCGAATATCGATAGCATGATCGATGCCATGGCCGGACACGAGATCCTTAGTTTTCTCGATGCCTACTCTTGGTACAATCAAATACAAATGAACCCGGAGGATACGGAAAAGACTTCGTTCATCACTAAGTACAACACCTATTATTATAATGTAATGCCGTTTGGACTAAAAAATGCCGGTGCCACTTATCAACGCTTAGTAAATTGAATGTTCGAAGAAAAAATAGGTAAGTCAATGGAAGTTTATATTGACGATATGCTATTTAAATCCCTGCGAGCAGAGGACCATTTGACACATTTGCAGGAGACCTTCGATATACTAAGAAAATATAACATGAAGCTCAACCCAGAGAAGTGTGCATTCGGGGTCAGCTTGGGAAAGTTCCTCAGCTTTATGGTATCAAATCGGGGTATCGAAATCAACCCCGATAAGATCAAGGCGATCGAAGACATCACAGTCGTGGATAATGTTAAGGTCGTACAAAGATTAACAGGGCGCATAGCCGCCCTAGGCCGATTCATCTCAAAGTCTTCAGATAGAAGTCACAAGTTTTTCTCGCTGCTCAAAAAGAAGAATAATTTCTCATGGACCCCGGAATTCCAACAAGCATTAGAAGAATTAAAGCGGTACCTCTCGAGCCCGCCGCTGCTTCATACTCCAAAAGAAGACGATCAACTCTACTTGTACTTAGCAGTCTTAAATATCGCGGTAAGTGGAGTCCTAGTTTGAGAAGAGCAAGGTACGCAATTTCCTGTTTACTATGTTAGTCGAACTCTAGGCGAGGCCGAGACCTGGTACCCACATTTAGAAACGTTGGCGCTTGCCTTAATAAGCGACTCTAGGAAATTAAAACCATATTTGCAATGTCACCCAATTTGTGTAGTGACCACTTATCCTCTTCGCAATATTTTGCATAAGCCCGAACTCTCGGGCCGATTGGCCAAATGGGTCGTCGAAATCAGCGGGTACGATATCGAGTGTCAACCCCGAACGTCCATCAAGTATCAAATCTTAGCAGACTTCATGGCCGACTTTACGCTAGCCCTCGTACCTGAGGTCGAAAAAGAACTATTATTAAAATCGGGTACAACATCGGGGGTGTGGACCCTAGTCACAGACGGCGCTTCAAACGTGAAGGGTTCCGGTCTAGGCATCATTTTGAAGCCGCCCACAGGTAATACAATTAGACAGTCTATCAAAACTTCCAAGTTAACTAACAATGAAGCCGAGTATGAGGCCATGATTGCAGGTCTCGAGCTAGCTAAGAGTTTGGGAGTAGAGGTCATCGAAGCCAAATGTGACTCCTTACTTGTGGTAAACCAAGTCAACGGAACCTTCGAGGTTTGGGATGATCGAATGTAGAGATACCTGGATAAATTACAGGTGACATTACATAGGTTTCAAGAATGGACCCTACGGCATGTACCTCGAGAGCAAAACAGCGAAGCCGATGCCCTCGCAAATTTGGGCTCATCGGTTGAAGATGATGAAATTATCACGGGGACTATCGTGCAACTTTCGAGGTTAGTGATCAAAAAAGTCCACGCCGAAATAAACTCCACAAGTCTGACCTGGGATTGGAGGAATAAATATATCGAGTACCTAAAGAACGGAAAGCTTCCGTCGGATCCTAAGGAATCAAGGACTCTACGTACAAAATCCGCATGATTTACATTGACCGAAGATGGAACACTATATAGAAGGATGTTCGATGGACCATTGGCGATATGTTTGGGTCCCGGAGACACCGACTACATCTTAAGGGAAATTCATGAGGGAACTTGCAGAAATCATTCTGGTGCCGAATCATTTGTTCACAAAGTCATCAGAGCAGGATACTTTTGGGCCAATATGGTAAAGGATACGAAGGAATTCGTTCGAAAGTGTGACAAATGTCAAAGATATGCGCATGATCCACCAACCCGGGGAGCAACTCCATTGAGTCCTATCACCTTGGCCGTTCATGAAATGGGAAATGGATATCATTGCCCCTCTACCATCGGCCCCAGGTAAAGCTAAATTCATTTTATTTATGACTGACTATTTCTCTAAATGGGTTGAAGCACATGCCTTTGAAAAAGTCAGGGATAAAGAAGTTATCGACTTCATCTGGGACCATATTATATGTCGATTCGAAATGCCTGCCGAGATCGTATGCGACAATGGAAAGCAATTCATCGACAGCAAAGTAACAAAGTTTCTTGAAGACCACAAAATCAAAAGGATCTTGTCAACGCCATATCACCCCGGCGGGAACGGACAGGCAGAGTCTACGCACAAAACCATCATTCAAAATCTAAAGAAAAGGTTGAATGACGCAAAGGGAAAATGGAGAGAAATGTGGCCCGAGGTTCTTTGGGCGTATCGAACAACGTCAAAATCCAGTACGGAGTCAACACCATTCTCTTTAGTATATGGTGCCGAAGCTCTAATACCGGTCGAAGTCGGGGAACCTAGCGTCAGATTTCGATACTCAACGGAAGAGTCAAATCACGAGGCTATGAATACAAATCTTGATTTGCTAGATGAAAAATGGGAAAGCGCCCTCGTTCGAATGGCGCACAGAAGCAACAGATCGAAAGGTACTACAACCGAAGAGCCAATTTTTGACATTTTAGAACAGGGGACTTAGTATTGAGAAAAGTCACCCTCAATACTCGAGACCCAAATGAAGGAAAACTCGGCCCAAATTGGGAAGGACCGTATCAAATCTTTGATATCGTCGGAAAAAGATCTTACAAACTCGGCAAGATGAATGGCGAACAATTATCAAATAATTGGAACGTGTCACTCCTCAAACGATATTACTACTAAGGTACAACCTTCTCCATTTTCATTTATATTTTATACTAACCGTTTGCAGGTGTTTAATCAAAGACATCAAAGGATCCTTCAAACGCAGTCTTTAGGTCTGAAAGCATGCTTTGCACTCTTTTTCCCTTAGACCGGTTTTTATCCCAAATGGGTTTTTCCGGCGAGGTTTTTAACGAGGCAACTTCGTGCTAACTTAGAGCAATTCAACAGTATCCGAGGCTCCTTTACAATCAACCTCGAATACTGGGGGACATCACCCTCGGATAGTTACAAGAAAAATACTTCGTGTCGACAGGGTCTCGATAGGTAAATTTTGTAGAGGACCAAACGGTCAAATGAACCGTGTCCGTGTAGATTACTTGAGCCCTAATGGCAAAACATGTACGCATGTATAATTTATTGGAAGAAGTATTTTTCCTTACCAGATACCCCATGTTTTAAAATTTATAATTTGCAATCTCTTACTTATGATCTATGGTGGAAACTGGGTAAAGGGCCGATCACAACTGAAGTTCAAACAAGTTATCCAATACTCGGGGACTGCCGTCCAAAAAACCGACACGATCGAATTACTAAACCTCGAGATCATAAGACCTTAAAAAGGCAATCCTCTATTTTATAGGCCACGACCACCCCACTCAGGGACTAATACTTCGAACAAGTTCGAAGTATAACATGGGAACAAGCCCAAAAGGCGAATCCCAAGTTAAAGGCTACGGCCAAATCAACACGGTTCGGGGACGTCCGATTTCCGTTATTAAATAGGCCTTCGAATATTTTCATAAACCGGTTAAAAAGGCTACCCTCGGCTAAATTTCTAAGGGTCTCAATAATATCGACCCTTGAAAATCCTAATGGGTACGGAACCATTCGAACTCTCGAGCAAATCCTTTATTTTGTGTTAAGGAACAACATAATTTATATGATTAAACGATAAATTTATCAAGCCGAAAAGGGGGAGAAAGCCATTCTTTTTGCTATGGCCATATCGGCCTAATTTAAGAGCCTAAAAGACCAGTTTATTTTTGAGTTCGAAGAAATCATCCTCACTCAATTAAAACCTAAGGGTCACCCTATTCCGAGTTCGAGCAAGTACTCACTCAATTATAAAAACTACACTAGTCCGGTTTCGATCAAAATGCCTAAGCCTCGAACTTATGAACAAAACTTTCACAAGGCATAAAAGAAATAAAGACAAGTCGGAAAGGAAAGAGATCATTATATATATGAATATTTACAAGGTCCGATCGGGATCCTATACAAAAAGATCAAAAGTGAAAAATCCTAAGGGTCTTGATCTCCTATAGGGGCAACTTATTCTACATCGAGGTACTCCCCATTCTCGGACCCGCTCTTGCTGCCATCATCATTATCGTCATCAAAAGTGGCCAGCGCTTCGACTTCGGCTTTATGCTCTCTAGCCTTTGCTATCTCATTGGTAAAATCAAAACCCCGAGCGTGAATTTCCTCGAGGGGTTCCCTCCGATATTGGCATTTGGCGAGTTCAGCAATCCAATATGATCGAGTTTGAGCGGACTCGGATGCCTCTCTCGCCTAGACTTGAGCGGCTTCAGCATCAGCCCGATAGACGGCCACGATCGCATCCACCCCGGCCTTTGCTTTTTCGGCTTCAGATTTGGCCTTGGCAAGTTCAGAAGCCAACCGAACCTCAAGCTCCTCTATTTTCCTTGCTTGAGTCGAGCTCCTCTCTTTCATGCCTTGAAGTTGACTTTCGACCAATGATAATTGGGCTCGAGCAGTCTCTTGTTCTGCAACAAAGTGGTCCATACCTTCCTTCCACCCCAAGGACTCTACCTTTATTGTGTCGACCTCCTCACAAAACTGCTCGATCCTCTCAATTTTCTGCTGCAGCTGTGAGATTGAAATATTAGCCATCATTCCCGAATCGAGCCCATGAGCTTTTCAGATTTTCATTACCTGCTCGATCAGATCTGTCTGATCTTGGTGAGCCTTGGCTAACTCGGCTTGAAGATCTCTAATCTCTTCCTCTTTCTGCCCACTAAGAAGTTTGAGGGCATTTCTCTCCTCCGAAAGCCCTCAGAAGTCAGCTCACATCGGCTTAGCTCCGCCCAAGACTTGGAAAACGACTCCTGATGTAGAGATAAAGCCTATATGAAAAGATAAAAAGTTAGGCATAATATGGAAGAATATGACATCAACAAAGGGAATCGAGACTTACCCGATTCAGGGCTTGTTAAGCCTCGAACAAAAGACCCGATGCATCACTCAGGCCGGCAGCATCCTCGATACTTGTAAACAAATCATGGAAGGAGTCCTCTCCCTCATGAGCTCCGTCTACCTCGAGGGTCCCCAAAGCTCGGGCTTCCCGAATCGCCCCTTCGGAAAAAGCAGGGAGAGTGGGCAAGTCTCCGATTACTATTGCCCCAAGGGAGTCACTTGGGGCGTTCTCCTCAGTTCGAAGAGCTTCAGGGCCGGTCCCTTCAGATATACTCACCGTTTGTTCATTTCGGTGGGAGACATCCTCGATCTCCAATGACTCGGGGACTTTGCCCGAGTCCTTCTCCGATATCCCCTCAGTTCGAGGCGGAGCCTCATCAACTACCATCGATCTAGTTGTCTTTGGTGCATCGATGGTTTTCTTTACTCGGGCTACCAGTATAGAGCCGTCGTCATTTTCTTCTTCGTCGTCTTCATCCCTCAGACGTCGAACATATTCTTCAATCAGAGGGATGGTGTTCTTCCTTGGCTTACGAGTCGTCTTTGTCGTAAGTTCTTGATCCTCGGAAGCCGAGGCCCTTTTTCTATTATTGTCTTTTGCCGGTTTCAGAACCGGGGCCGAGGTCTCTTCCTCGCCAGACGGGGGCCTCATGACCGCATCTTTGCTAAGGCCTACACGCAGGAAAATTGGTTAAGTATAAGAAAGACATTTTGATCGAATCATCAAGGACATAGGAAAGGGGCTTACCATGAGTTTTGGCCTCCCATCGGCCCTTTGATAAATCGCGCCATGAGCGCTCAGCATACGAAGAGGTCGAGGCCAGGTCTCGAACCCAGCTCTTGAGGTTAGGAATTGCACCGGGCATTCAAGCAACCGCTACATCACGGAAAATTATATCGATGAGAAGAAGCAAAGGGCTAAAACAATAAATAATAATTAACAGTGGAACTATACTTACGCTTCATATTCCATTTCTCAGAAAATGGCATCTTCTCGGCCGGGACTAGGTCAGAATTCCTCACTCGCCAAAAAGAAGGGTGGATTTGGCCTAGGGTTATCTACTGATGACAAAAGTCGATAAAGACCGGGGGGGGGGGCAACGTGAAAGGGTAGGTGTAAACACTTAAAAACCCTTCCACATGAGTGGTAATGTCTTCTTCCGGGGTCGGTATCACCACTTCTTTGCCTTTCCAGTTGCAGTCTTTCCTTGCCTGCTTAAGGTACCCTTCAGTTATCGAGCATATGTACCTCGACACTGGCTCGCATCGACCAGGAATCGATGAGGCTTTATCGGTTTTGAAGTTAGAAGTAATAACACACACCCCCGGGAACACACTCTTCAGGTCATGGCTCCACCGACATTTTGTCGCTGGCCGGCCACGATGAAGAAGTGTTTTTCTTTTGAGGAACAGTCTTTGATGTTTTTCCATTTTTGTATGGATTTGAAGTTAAAAATAGATGTAGATGATAATTTAGTGTTTTGAGAGGATGGTAGCAGTGAAAATTGTAGATTTGCAGATGAAGAGGTTAGAAGATATAAAACGTTTTGAAGATTGAGAATCTGAAAGTAAAAGTTCGAAATAGTGGAGAGAGGGGCTACTTATAAATTTCACAACGACGGTTCAATATTGGCGGTGTGCGACCATTGACTGGCGTATATTTAATGCCTAGGAAACTGTACAGATGGGACGTTTCAGTCACTTCCGTTGCTTACGTCATAAGGATGGCGTCATGACAGGTCAAGGTAGAAAATCGAAGGCTCAATTCGTTTCTTGTCATTACACTCTAAAAAAATGAGGGGACTATCTGTGTTAAAATCGGGTCCGCCCAATTTTATTGTTTGACCGAGACCGGGAGTTTACATCGAAGGAAGACTCAGAAGTAGATCAGATCGAGGCACGAACACAATGTACCAAACGAGATAGGTATTGAGCAATACCAAAGATTGCGTAGTTACGAAAAAATGAGATATCTACGACCGGTCGAAGATCATGGTGGAAATCTCGAAACGGATCGAATCAAGAACGATTGTTTAGTTAATCATGGGATTTTCTTCTGTAATTAGAATTGTGTCATATATAGAATTCCTCTACTATATAAAGGGGAGTTCTAACCATTTGTAGGCATGACTGATAAAAAAGCAATACAATTTTCTTCCTCACTCATACTCTCGTTCTTCAGATTATTGTGTTTTTATTGTCCTTGCATCAATCAGTTCGAGGATACTTTAACTCAAGGGTTGAGTGCTACTCAAATACTGATTTGATTTACTTTATTGTATAATTCTATCCTTAATCTTCATATTTATCAATCGGTATTAAGTGAAATCACGTGTCCTTATGTCCACATTATAAGTTTAATTGTTATCCAATTTTGAGGGTAAACAAAGAGCTTAAAATTTATTTCTCAGTTGATCCGAAATTCACGAATCCAAAAGGTTCTAAAGAATCAGCAAGGTATTTTCTGAAAGCTGAGAAGGTTTTGATAACTTGAACAAGTACTTAAAATTTTCTTGAAGTTATCTAGTTTCTATCACGTGCAAAAGCAAATTTTATCTTAGTCATCAAAAGTGATTTCAACTTGATATGTGTTTACCCCAAAAATCGGATAATAATTGAATTTATACGTGGTTTTAAGGATACGTGATCTAATCTGATACAAAATGAGATATTAGATTTAATATGGAAGAAGAAATAGAAAAATGAATACAAACCATGCAGATTGAATAACTTAAGCCTCGTAGGATTAGCCTCCTTTCAATTTAGGAGAGATAATGCCAGAATATTACTATAGCCAAAATAATATGAACAAAGCTGAAAAAAGATAGTATGTTGTTCTTTTAAGTATGTTACCATGTCCTATGAATTACTCAATTCCTTCTATATATACAGGGAGATGAAACCTTTAAGACATTATTTTATAAGAAGTTATGTAGACCGTTGGCTCCCCTTTTGACTTAATTCCGTAATTTCTGTCATAATGATTGGTCAATGGCGAGAATCATGGATACTTGTCATGTGAATGGGTAAAGCTTTTCTTCGAGGCCGTTAGAAGTGAGGTCGGTCGTGCCCCCGATAATATCGAGGGCAAATCTATCGTCTTGTTCGAACTTCGACCCTCGATATCGAGGTCAGTTATATCGGTACCTTTGATCTCTTATATGGGTGTCGAACCTTGACCCATTGTTCCAGATGCCTCGATCGAGCATTGAGCTCGGTTCTACCAGTATACATATAGTCCCCTTGTTTTTTGGAGAGTAAGCGATTAAAAACAATATGAACCTTCGGTCCTTACTTCGATAAATCATGACGACGGGTATATGACGTAGGTTATAAGAATAGTGGAAACGTCCCATCAGTCCGGTCTTTGAGGTATTAAATGTATGTTAGTTGACGATCGGCTACCTCGGGAGATGAACCACCGCTTAAGGAACCTATAAATACCCTTTAATTCATTTCTTAGAACTTTTACGCTCAAATCCTTCTCGTGTTCTAAGGACTTCATCTTCTTCATCTTCTTACTTTCTCAAAGCTTCCCTTTATTAACAATCTCTTTCCTTCATAGAAATGGCAAAAACTTCAAAGTCTGTTCCCCAAAAAGAAACACCTTCTTCTTCAAGACCTTCCGAAAACACTTCTAATGCTGTTACTGAGGAACCTCCTCTGAGATCATATATTCCCACTGGGTGACCTACTATGGCTGGCTTCAAGGTTGAGAATACGCCCATGATACCGGGTTGATGTGAACCGGTCTCGAGGTATATGCGTACGATTTCGGACAGCATCCTCGATAAAGTTAAAGAGGATTGCAACTGGGTAGGCAAACACGTAGTGGTTCCTACCCCTGAAGAATAAATTACCACCTACGTGGAGGGTTTCTTAAGTGTTTACACTTATCCTTTCACGTTGGGTCCTCTAGACCCGGTTATCATAGCCTTTCATAAAAGGTATGATGTGACGCTCGGGCAGATAGATCCTTCATTTTGGTGGATCGTTATTTTGCTTCGATTCTTTGTGAGCAAGGTCGAGGGATGTCCATTCTCCATCGACCATCTCATGCGCCTGTACAACCCTCGACTTTACCGAGGAGGGTTAATTAAGCTTGCACGCTGAGCTACCAAGACCTTGTTCTCGAGTATCGATGAGGATCAAGACCGGGGATGGTTAGGTAGATTTGTTCGAGTGAGAACCTCGGACTTAGTCCCGGCTGCAGAGATGCCATTCCCTAAGAAATGGAACATGAAATGTAAGTTTAGCTTTACCTTCGATATTACTTTTATTGCTTTGCATTCCATTTGGTTTCTCATCCATGATATGTGATGCTGTTTTTGCCCAGATGCCGAACCCCATTCCTGAACTTAAAGATTGGGTCGAGGGTATTGGAACACAGAGACCTTATTCTGAACGCTTGTGGCATGAGCTCTCGAAGGGCCGATGGGAGGCCCGTAATCATGGTAAGGGGTTTTTCTTAATAATACATCTGATCTCATTTTTTCATCTTCACTCCTTGATCCGTTATATTTTCATTTTGTAGGCTTAGGAAAGGACGTCGAGATGAGGCCTCCATCAGTTGATAATGATATACACACAGATCCTCCTGCTTCAAAACAGAGCTAAGAGAAGAGGAAAAGAAAAGCTCTGAGTCCCTCGGCTCCTGAAAGGAAAAGCCGAGGAAGCAACCTGCGCAGAAATCTAAGAAAATCAGCGCCCGAGAACTTTCATCAGACTCACTCAATCGGTTGAGGGATGAGTCTAAGGAAGAATAAAATTCTAAGTTAGTGGCCCGCATGAGAAGCGGCTTCGAAATCCCTCGAGCCATAGAGGCTGTAGAAGAAACAGTGGCCGAAGTCTCCGGGAGGGTCAAGACCGATTTGCCTCAATCCAGCGAGGTCAAAAAAGAAATCGTGACCGGTGTATCTCAATCAGAAGATAATGTCCCCAAGGAGGCGCTTGGGTGATTGACCTTTTAGGGTCGCCTTCGTTTACGAATTCCATGATAAATGAGGCCCAGGCGTTGAAAATTCACCTCGGCGAAGGGGCCCAAGGAGCAGCCGATTCTTTCAATAATTTCTTCGACGGCTTAGATTTTGCTTCTTCTGAGGATGTTATCGGTTTGGGTGATTTACCGGTACCAAGGAAGATACCGTCCCCGGGAGCTAGCGGGTCTTCGTCAAGCCCAAAATTAATGAACCAGTTCCCCGCTCCGAATGTCGATCCTACTCGGAGACGTTCAATCTTCATGTCCATTCCGGACGATGCCCGAGTTCTCTCTACCCCGGTGAGGGTCGCTAGTTACCTTTGGTGTTTGGTGACCGAAGAGGATCAAGCAAAATTGAACGAGGTGGAAGCACCTTGCCTGTTCAACGAAGCTCAACAGGCGCAGAATCGGGTAACTTCAAATGTCCTTTTATTATATACTTAGATTTAATAGTGAATAATCCTAACATCTTTCTTTGAGTTTGCAGGCCTCGGTGCTTCATCACAAGGCCTTTCTCCGAAACCGGGAGGAGTTCAAGCATCTTGAGGACGAGACTCAGAAGTTTGCTGAAAAGAGGGATGCCTATAAGCTCCTTGATGAAAAGTCCCAAGCTGAGCTGGAGGCAGCTCGGAGGAAACATTCTGACCTGGTCGAGCAGGTAAGAATAGTTTTCGAAGTTAGTGATGATAAGTTGGACTTAGTAGCTAATGATCTTTGCCCGTGTGATCAAGCAATTACGAGGGGAGGTAGATGCTGTCAAAGACGAGACCGAAGAATGGAAGAAAAATATGGATCGCGTAGCCTCGGAGAAAGAGACTGCCCGGACATAGTTGGCTTCTGCTGAGGCTCAGCTTCGGGGAGAAGAACTCGGCGCAGGCCAGAATGATATCAACTCAAGAATCTCAAATTCTCTTAAGTTTAGAATTTTAAATTTTGACTAGAAGCACCAAATTATCCCTGGGCCACTCGAGACTCGAACCAAATATATGTACAAGTCCAAAATCATCATATGAACCTACTGAAACCTTCAAAATACCAATCCGAGGTCATTTATCCATAAAGTTGACATTGGTCAACTCTTCCAACCTTAAGCTTCAACTTAAGACTAAGTATTCTAAATCTCTCCCGAACCTCTCGATAACAAAGCTATGCATTCCCACAAGTAATAAATTACTATACTAACCTACCAGATCTCTCAAATAGGGAAATGGGGTTCTAGAGCTCAAAACGACCGCTCGGGTCATTATGAAATTATTTTTCATTTTGATTTGCTCTATATGGAGCCCTCTAGCAAGCTCTAGACCTGCAATCATAGCCTCATACTCGTCTTCATTTTAGTGATATGACAATATTTTATTGATTGTCTAACTACCTCCCCTGAAGATGTAATTAACACTATTCCTAAACTAGACATTTCATGTTAGAAGATCCGTGTATAAGGTCCAAGTTCCAAGATTCATCCCAGAAGCTACATGTCCTTCTTTTTCGGCTTCGAGAAGTATTCCTAAGATAAAATCAGCAACAAAGTATGCTAAAGCTTGTGATTTTATAGTGGTGCAAGGTTGATTAACAATATCGTACTCACTAAGTTCGACTGTCCATTTAGCAAGCCTACCTGAAAGTTTTTGTTTATGCAAAATATTTCGTAATAGAAAAGTTGTAACAGCAGAAATCAGATGACATTAAAAATATGGTCTTAACTTCTAGTTGCCATTATAAATTCTAAAGATAATTTTCCAAGTGAGAATACATTGTTTCAGCACCTAGCAATAACGTAATATATTGATGATTGCGTACCTTTATCTACTCGAACTAAAGTTGCATTTACAGAGACTTCAGATACTGCGAGATATACAAGTAACTGTTCTCCTTCTCGTGGCATTGAAAGCAATAGCGGATTTGATAAGTCCTTTAATTCTTACTGACATTCTGGCATCCACTCAAAATTCCTTTATTTTTTCACCAACGAGAAAAATTTGAAACATCTTTATGAAGTTTTCGATATGAACCTTCCTAGAGCTGCTATTCTTCTGGTTAGCCTTTTTACTTCTTTCATTTTCTTAAGAATGTCGGGGATTTCTTCGATCATTTTGATTTGGGCAGGATTAACTTCAATACCTCTGTTAGAAACAAGAAAATCGAAAAACTTACCCGAAGCAACACTAAATGCGCATTTTTCTGGATTCAACTTCATGTTATACCTTCGGAGAGTGGAAAAAGTTTCTATCAAATGTTCGAGATGATCTCCTGATCGAGTTAACTTTACCAGCTTATCGTCTATGTAAACCATCTATGTAAACTTTCATTATTTTTCCCAAGTATTCTTTGAACATCCTAGTCACAAAATATTGATATGTAGCCCCAACATTTTTTAGCCCAAAAGGCATAATTTTATAGCAGTAAGTCCCCATGTCTGTAATGAAAGAAGTTTTCTCTTGATCTTACATATCCATTTTAATTTGATTGTACCCAGAGTAAGTATCTAAAATGTTTGAAAGTTCAGGTCCGGCAGTAAAATCTATTATTAATCAATATGAGGTACAGAAAAAGAATATTTGTGATATGCTTTATTTAAATTAATATAATATATGCATGCTCTCCGCTTATTACCACCACAAAATTAGCTAACCAATCAAGATATTTTACTTCTCGAATTTATCTGATCTTCAAAATTTGCTTATTTCCTCCTCTATAACTCGATTTCGGAACGATCCTTATTTCCGTTTCTTTTTCTTAACAGGAGTGTATGATAGGTTCATATTAATATTGTGTCTCATTACTTCAGGTGGAATACCTATCATATCTATATACGACCAAGCAAAAAAATTAGAGTTAGCCCGTAAACTTCAATTAATTTACTTTTTTAATTCTGGGCTGAGCCCTAATCCAATGTAGACTTTCTTTTCTAAAAAAGAATAAAGTAAAAACATTCAATTCTTCTGATGTTGTTTTAATTGTATCATCTTCTTCTGGTTTTACGATTGTGTCTAGTATCTCTTCTTCTTCTTCACTCGTATCTACTTTTGCCTTTGTAGCCGGTTCAATGACTTTCGAAGAAGTCCCCACTTCTGTAGTTGGTTGCCTTAGTTGCTATTTGTCATTTTAGATTTAGGTAACCCATTGGCAATAAGTCATAAAGTTTATCTCCCCTGCAGCTTGTTGATCCCCTTTAATATGCCATATTCTCCACTTTGATTGGAATTTGAGGACTTGATGTAATGTGGAGGGTACTGCGTCCATGTCATGTATCCACGATCTTTCCAAAATTATGTTGTACACCATGTCTGCTGTTACTACATGAAACGTGGTATCTCTCACCATCTTTTTTGCAAAGATGGGTAGTGTAACTTCTCCCCGTGTAACCACACTAGAATTAATAAAACCGAATAGAGATCGAGCCTTTGGGATTATCTGAGTCATCACTTGCATCTCTTCGACCACCCGTAACTGAATGATATTTGCTGAACTACCTAGTGTAATAACTTGGTCGGTCGTTTTATGTATTTGAGATCCATTTCCCCTATTTGATGCTTCATGTATGTTTGCTTGTTATTTTGTGACTTACGGGGATGGTTCGGTTGATTTCGGGAAGTTTTAATAGGGAATTGAGACATTTAGTCTCATTTTGAAAGCTTAAGTTGTAAGAGTTGATCAAGGTTTGACTTTGAGTAAATAGCCTCGGATTGGTAATTTGATGGTTCCAATAGACTTGTATGGTAATTTTGGACTTGGGCGTATGTTCGGATTTGG